GCGAAAGCTCACTAATACATGGTGTTGTTACAGACCAGTGACTGGCACTCAGTGGTGAATAAGTAAATATTACTTCCAGCTCCCTCTTGGGAGGAATGATACAGTGTTTGTTCAAATACATAGACAAGTGGTGGCAACACAGGTTTTCCATTCCTTGTGATGCCTCTCCTGGAATATTTTTCAGAATCTCCCAACAAAGGGGACTTTAAGAGGTGGAGGAAACTTGGGGTCTGCCTGGGTGGTACATATGGGGAGACTGAGGCCAATGGAGGATGAAGGGCTTTCCTGAGGGTGCACTGCATGGTGGGGACAGAGTATATGAAGGGGCATGGGCTTCTGATTCCCAGGATGGGCCTGGTGCCCTGCATTCCTGGATAGAAGGGCTTCCAGGAGGAGGTTTCTGTCCTGTGGCTTCATATGCAGGCAGCATGGGGTGTCTAGTCTGAGACCTATTTTGTGTGTGTGGAGAGAGGGGGCTCTCAGGAGATACCAAGGCCAGGGCTGGCCAGGCAGCAGGAAGAGCTGGTGCCTGCAGAGCCATCATCACATCTCTTAGCAGCTCAAGCCCTTTCTGGGAATGAACCTGTTCTTGGTAGAAATCCACCTTTGTCTATTCTCAGCAGTCAGCAGCATCCTAACAGAACTAAGGCAGACCGTGTCAGCCCCTGCTCTATCCTGCCAACAGCTCCCATCTCACTCAAAGTCTTCAGCATATAATTCGCCACTGCCTTTCTCCTCACTTACTGCTCCAGGCTCAGGGCCTCCTGGACTTTGCTCAGACACTCTGGGCACACTCCCACCCAGGGCCTTTGCACTCACTGTTCCCTCTGCTGGAAATGCTCTTCCCGCAGCTGTGGGCGGGGCCAGCTCCCAAACCTCTTTCAAGTCTTACTTAGGTGTCACTTTCTGACTATGCCAATCCCTCCCCAAATCCCCTTCCCCGCTTCATTTTCCTCCTTAGCATTTTTCACCACTTAACATACTGTGTGTTTCAGTTATTTATCTGGTTTAGTCTGTCATCCTTGCTTTACCCTAAATTCCATAATGGAAAGGATTTCTCTGTTGTTCACCACTGTATTCCCAACTACTAGAATGTATGTAGTGCACAGCAATCACTTAATTGACATTTGCTAACAGAAGGAGAGAGGAGATGATGGATGGATGGATGGATAGATAGACAGACAGACAGACAGACAGACAGATGATGCTTAACGAGCATCTGGTGAGCTCCTTCAGAGAAGAATCACAACCAGATGGCAGGGGTTAACAGCACCAACTCCTAGGCAAGCAGGCCTGGGTTTGAATCCATATTCCTCCATTGACTAGCTGAGTGACCTTAAGCAAGTCACTACTCTGTGAGCCTCAGTTTTCTTCTCTGTAAAATGGGGATCATAGTGGTACTTGCCACACTTAGTTATTGGGAGGGTCAAAGAAGATACAGTTGGAAAGCATGATCACAGCCATGGCATCTCCTGACAAATGCCAGCTACTCTTATTATTAAGAAAGGCCCAAATTATTAAAATAGGCCAGGCTCCATGCTGAGCACTAGGGAGTCAATGGTGACTCCAGACGTAGTTGTTGCCCTCAAGCCGCCCATGGTCAAGGAGGGTAACCGGCTTGTACAAACTATTAGAATAAAATGACACAAGAGCCATAACAGCAGGAAGCCTAAGGGGCTGAAGGAGCCAGAGGCTGAGGGTCATCCCCCTTGAGAGGATGAGGGAAGTCTGCTTGGAAGAGGTGGCGTGTGAGCTAAGGGCTGATGCACACACAGGAGCTATCCAGGCCGTGTGAAGAGGGAGGGAGAACATTCCAGACAGTGAGATTGTATGGCATATACAAAGGCCAAGAGGTCTCTCAACAGCTCCACAGCACAAGAATTATCATCTTCATTTTACAGATCCTGAAACTGAGCTCAGAGAGGTGAAAAAAACCACTTCTCAAGGTCACACAGCAAGAAAGTGGCAGAGCTGGGAACTGAACGGCAATTGGCTCTGCATTCTCACTGCAGAGCCCGAGAAAACTGATGTACTGGCAAACAGGAGAGACAGTGGGTGCCAAGAAGAACCCCAGCTCCCCACCAGGGCTGGGTGCAGAAGTACGGGGGTGTCGGGAAGGCCACAGCCCCCTGCCTCCGCCCCAGCTAAGGGACTGCCACAGCCCCACTCCGCAGGAAGGACGGTACCTCCATCAGGTCTATAAGCCACAGCAGCCGCTCCTGGCGGGGAAAGGTGAGCAAAAGGCAAAAAGAAAAATACATCAAATAAATATTAGGGATGGGGTGGGCACAGCAAACCTCCTTCCCAAACACACACACACACACACACACACAATAAACAAAGGGATTCCCCAAATCCCTTTTCTTTTTACTTGAAATGCTTGGGGCAGGAATAAAAGAGGGATGAGGAAGACCCCACAGCTACAATCGGCATGGTTTCATTTCTAACTGCCTCCTTCAAGGAAACCAGGGGTGGGGGGCGGTCCTCACTGCTCTGCAGAAATGACACTTGTCCTGGAGAAGGGCCTTCAGGAGACAGTCATGCACCTGGGCGCAATTCTGGGACTCCCAAGCAGTTGAGACTAGGATCACTATTTCCACTTAGCAGAAGGGAAAACTGAGGCTCAGAGAAGGGAAGTGACTTGTCCAAGGTCACATCTGCTACTGAAAAGCAGAGCCTGAAGGAGGACCCTGTTCAGAGGACTCGATCAAAGAAGAGCTATATTTCTGAGAGGCCTGGGCCTTGAGGGGCAGAGAAGCTCAGGGTCTATAAAATGGAGCCCGGCGCTATGCATGTGGGGGGCGCCCGGGGTGGGATGAAGCTTGGAGAAGGAGTGGCAGATCCTCAACCCAGTGCTTTCCAGAAGCCACCAAGTGTCTGCAAGGCCCTAGGTACTGGGTGGTTTCCCCAGATCCGGAAGAACACAGGCTCCCTCTGCCCTCAGGGTGTGGACAGCACTTCTGGGATGTCACGCATCCTTTACTCCTCCCAACAAGCTGGGGAAAGCAGCAGTGCTGCCCCAGTGCAAGGAGGGAAACCGAGGCACTGTGGAGTGAGGCGACCTTCTTTCCACACTGCCTTTCCTGCGGGCACAGCTTTCTCCTAGACCCACCTCCAAGAGCTCGCCCTGGTCTTGGTTAGTCCTGATCTGACATGCACATGCTATCTGATGGGCCTCAGACTATCACAGTTACTCACATCTCAGAAGCTGGGAGACCCCTTCACCTGTCCCCCAAATTCCCTGCTCAAAATCATCTCGTGGCCCATCTGAAGTCTGCCTTCTCCAGGGTGCCCCAATCTGTAGAGAGGGTCTTTGGCAGGGCAGGGTCAACTGCCACAGCTGGGGCCCAGATGGCAGGGGCAGTGTTTCCCAGGTACGGGACAGACCCCCAGGCTGGGACAAGGTCAGTGCAGGCTGGTGTTGAGTTGAGGCAGGGACCCTGCCCAGAGCCCTTTCCAGGTGTAAAAGTCACCCTGACTTCTCCAATCCTGCAGCCTTGGACTGCTGCGGCCAGAGCCACCAAGGACCTCAGGCCATTTTACCCACAGGGAAGCCGAGGCCCAGAGAAGCTGGACTGAAATCTGACTCTCTTGCCTTCCGAGCTAGAGCACACCTATCCCACCCACTGGACCTCTATCCCTGATTCTGAACGACCAACCCAGGATTACAATCTGCAACCCCCAGGTTTTAGAGCTGTGACCAATGGCTCCTAAAGAGCCAGATGGACATTATCAAGGCCAATCTCAGTGGAGCAAGACCCAGAAAGAAACAAACACTTGGGCCAGGGCCCACAGCCTGAAGCCAGCTCATCAGCTGTGTGCCACATCAAAGCCAAAAACTTGCAGCTCTGGGCCGGGGACAGCCTCCTCTCTGCACCAGAAGTGATCTGCTCATCCTGAAGCATGACATGGCCTCTACCACAGCCACGTCCAGAGCCTAGAGGAATGCACGGCAGCTTCCCAGATCACCCAGGATGGATGAGGACTCTTGCGGATGAAGGTGACTCAGTATGGTAGGCGTAGGAGGTAGAAGAGGGGAATTCCCCCAGAAATCCAGATCCCCAGAGCTATTAAAACAAACTAAATAAAAAAGCCACACCAGGAGCTGGAGTCTGCAAAGGAAAGGCATGCATGCCCCAGGGTGGTTGTTTCCTGGTGGCTGCAAGCTCACCTGTGCCCACTACCTCCTGTGTCTGCAGGTGGACATCACTGCACCCTCAGAATTGCTCCTCCAATAGGACAACGAACACTGTCTAGTAGATTCACCCAAAAGAGCTCCCAGTTCAGGGAGTAACAGTGCTTAAGAAACTTGACTTCCCACTCCCTTTCCAGGAGAGAAGTGCTGAGTGATGGACAGGCAGGGAAGGAGAGGATGGAGCCAAGCCCGCTCTCCTGACCTCCAGCCCAGGCTCTTCCTACAGCGCGGACCTTAATAACCAGCTGTTTCTCATGATGGATAACAACGCATTTCCTCTGCTCCTTCCTTGCAAAGGCCTCCAGGGTTCATCTGCCTCTGAGCATCCTGGGGGCAGAACCACACCCTGAAATGGACCAGATGATTTTCTGGGGGCTGGCAAGTCTGAGAGAAAGTCAGGCTGGGTTTTGGGGGTGTGTCTTAGGGAAGGTTCCAATCACCACGAGTGCCCTCCCACAGATTGGCATTATTATTTCTATTTGTCTCATTATTGCGTTTTTCATCTTCCTCCCCCAGCCTCCTCTCCTGGACTGTGAGCCTCTGAGGCAGGGCCACATCTGTCTTGTTCACTAGTTGTGTCCTAGAGCCTGTGCCTGGCATGCAGCGGGCACCCAACAATTACGAGGTTTTTACAAGGGAAGAAACTGAGGCTCAGAAAGGCAAGGCACAGAGCAGGCAAGGGGTCAAATGCCAGCACAGAATCCCAGTGCTGGGATTTGAACTTGGATGGGTCTCACTCCAAAGCCAGCATCTTAACTCCCCTCCTGCTGGCTGTCAAGCCAGGGACGGGGCAGGGACAGCTCACCCTGGCCGAGCTGACGGTGGTGGAGGTGCCGTGGCTGCCTGTGGATGAGCCCGTGTCACTGTAGGAGACCATGGAGTAGATGTCCCCAGCCCCAGGGCCCGGGGGCTGCCGCGCCTTCATCGACTCTATCTCCCGCCTCAGTACCAGGTGGTCGAAGCGGTCCAGGTCTTGGGGGGAGATGGTGCCTCTCACCTCAGAGAGGAGCGAGAACTGGAGTCAGGGACAAGCGGGGCACTCAGCAGGGAGCTCCACCAGCAGGTGGGATGGCCCCCTGCTACCCCAAATGACCTGCATGCGAACTTGGCCACTGGCCTCCCTCCTTAACCCTCTATGGCTCCCCACTGTCCGAGGAGAAAGTGCAAACACCTTCACCTGGACACCAGGCCCAGTGTCATCTAACCCTGCTTGCCTCTCACCTCTTCCTCCCTGGCATCTCAGTGTGCACAAATGGCTGCAGCTCCCTGAACAGGAAGCTCTTGGCTGTCCCTTCCCCCTACTTCTCTCCAAATTGCATTTCCTCTATTAAGTTTTCCCAAATGTAACCACTCCCAGCAGATCCAATCACTTTCTCCTTGCTGTAACTTCTGAACCTCAAAGGACTTCCACTAGAGCCTGGTTTCCAAAGGAGGCAGGACAGCACAGTTGCTTGGGGGGCGATTCATAAAAATTACTGGTGGCTGGGAAATCAACTATACTTCAATTTTTAAAAATGGGGGAAAAAAAGTATTAAAAAAATGACCAGTGGCTGGCTCCCATCCACAGATGTGTGGCGTTAGCCAGCCTGGGGTGGCGCTTGGACAGCGCCTTTTAAGAGCAATCCAGCCAATTCTAAATGTACACTCAGCATGGAAACCCACTGCGTCAGGGCCTCGGTCATAGGAACTGTAATTGGCGGTTTCCCCAGGAGTCTGCGGGCTTCCCCAGGCCAGGGGGGTTGTCTCAGTTACCAGTCTCTGCCTGAGGTTCAGTTTAGGCCTGACTCTTTCTGGGTTCTCCGTAAAGGAGTGGGGGACAGAGGGCAGCAGGGAAGGATGCAGAGCCCTGCAGAGCTGAAGCCGGGCCCCCAGCACCGCCTCGCCCAGGGAGGCACGGGTCACCTTGGCATGCGTGTTGAGCAGCTCAAACAGGGCCATGACGAGGGCCTCCACAGAGACGCTGCCGCGGCGGTACTCCTCCAGGTAGTAGGCCATGGTGGCGCGCTCCTGCTCGTTCAGCAGACGCCGGGCCTGCTCCTCCAGCAGCACCCGTGTCTGGTTCCCCAGGCTGCTCAGGGTCACCTGGGAGCCGGCCGGCCCCTTGTAAAACCCCAGCTGAAAGACAGCAAGACAGAGGCCTGGGTATTCGGAGCTGCTCTGGAACTAAATGGCCAGGCCAAGCTGGTGACCACACTGCACAGGGATGCGGTGGGTCCTTCTGAGGTCTCGGCCCATGCAGTACACCTGCAGATGTTAACAGGATGTGCTCAGAGCACACAGCCTCGTGCAGCAGCAAAGTGCTTTCATGGCTCACGTAGCACTTGTATGCGTTACCTCATCAGAGCCTCACGACCATTCATTGTCAAGCAATATTACTATGGTTCCCATTTTATTCTCCAGTTTGCAATCTCTCTCTTGGTAAACTGGGGATAATAGTAACTTTATTTCCAAAACATAGCTCAGGTCTGCAAACACACACTCCACCCCTCCCCGCCACTGTCTCTACCATCATCAGCCGTGTCCGTAAGACGCCACCTGGTCTCCCCTCTTGTCCCTTCTGCCTCAGGAACCTGTCTCCTACACAGAGCTGCTGAGATGGCTTCATCAAAATACAGATCTCATCTTGCTTCCCTCTTTAAACCCTTCAACAGCATCCTGTCATTTTTGGTTAGAAGTCAAGCCTCTTACATGACCCACTAAGCCCTGGGTGGTCTGGCCATCCACCAACAAGCCAAGCCTGGTGCCTGCCTCAGGGCCCTGGCACGTGCTGTGCCTTCTGACTATATCACCCGCCTTCCACTCCTGCAAAGACGTCGATCTCACTAACTTCTACTTAACGTTCCGTTTACAGCCAAGACACCATGTCACTATCTCAGAGAACTTCTGCCCTCTCTCCGCCCCCTGCCCTCTCCCCGCATCTAAACTAGGCGTCAAATCTGTCATTCTCTCTCATAAGACCCAGCACCTTGCTTCGATGACACTGAATGTCTTTTGTGATTAGATATGATTAGATAGATTAGGTTTATTCCGTTTTTATGTATGTCTCCTTCACTGGGTGTAACCTCCACAAGGGTGGGGACCTGATCTGTTCTATTTGTGCCCTTAACCCTGGTGTCCAGTGCAGTGTCTGGAACGTGGCGGCACTCACTGGCATGTGTGGAATGGAGGATGGGCGGACAGTCAGCAGGCCGCCCACATGAAATGAGCTCATGTACGTGAGCCACTCAGCCCACCCTGCCAGGCCTAGAGCTATGAAGAAACCTAAGAGACCCACAGACAGAGATCACCCTACCTTGTTGGTCCCTTCTGTGAGATCCCCAGGAAACCTATGAAGAAAGACAAGCATGTTCAGCTTCACGTCTGAGCAGTTCAAACAGGCACGGGTAAGGGAATGCCTGATCTGCAGCGGGATGAACAACGGTTTTGGAGAAGCATGGCCTGCACTCGCCGGGGCCACTCAAGGGAATATCAACCCCTGGAGAGATGGGCAGCTTCTGTTCTCCCGACCAACCACGTGCATAGCACTTCTAAAACCATGCAAGGTTGACTCCTGAGTTGTTTCCAACCCTACAGGACCAGGTAGGCAACAAGGAGAGGTGAGAATAAATGGCAACTGATACGTGGCCTCGGGGTCAGGCCAATCCCAGCGAGGGGTGGGGACATGCATCTGGCAGGTGCCGCTCAGCTCTAGCCTGTTTTCACACAAAAAAAAAACCATGGGCTCAAGGTGCCAGAATCCCTGATTTTCAAGAAGTAGCCAGAAATCCAGCTTTTTTTTTCCAACGGGAAACCTGTTGCCCTTTTCGATGTTGGCAACTAATTTTGTAAAATTATAATACTCTGCAAGTGAAAGGAAGGTGGGAAGGAAAAAAGGGAGCTAGTGAGAGAAAGAGATGCCCTAGGTATATTTGGCTCAGGGGCCACCAACCAGTCTGAGAATTTTGATGGAAATCCAAAGGTGACCCTTTACAGTATTAGCCACTATGCAGCCATCTGGCAACTATATTTCACTTTATGACCTCCGAGACCCTTTCACCCAAGTAATTCACGGGATCCTCATCCACACCTTTAGGATGGGGGCTTTGGGTTATGATTCCCACTTTTCAGATGAAGCAACTAAGGGTCAAAAAATAATTAGGTGAATAAATAAAGAATGAGAGAGCTGGATCATGCAGTTCAGCTTCCCAAGGGCAACTGAGGCCAGGAGAGGAGAAGGGATGTGTCCAAGGTCATGCCCTGCAAATGGAAGGGACCCTGGGGTTGGGACCACAGGCTCTGAAAAACAGGGCAATCTTCACAGATCAGAGCACGGTGGAGGAGTGGGAGGGGCTGTTACTGGCTTTCAGAAATGGCCCTGGGGTCCTGGGGCTCAGAGTGAGTGAGCAGTGCGGACAGACCCTGCTGAGTTTGTGGCGATGTCCCCAATCCGGGAACTGGCAATCCACTTGGTCTCGTCCACAGTGGTGCGAGCGTGGGGTAGCCTCCCGACGTCCTTCACCGTCAGGATGAGGTGCTGGGATGACTTGAGCAGCTTGACTGCCTCATCGTGCAGAATGTTGAGAAAGCTCCGCCCATTCACCTCCAGAATCTGGTCCCCAACCTGCACAGTCAACACAACAGTCACCTAGGCTGTTTGTAGGACACCAATTCATGCCAGGGGCTTCAGAGCCCTGATTCCAATTCTCCTCCTGGCTAATCTGCAAGGAGGTCACTGAGGCTCAGAGAGATTATATGGATGCCTGAGGATCACACAGCAACAGGCTCAGAGAGGTTATGTGAATGCCTGAGGGTCACACAGCAAATCAATGGCGAAACCAACCTTCCAACCCTGAACCTTCCAAGCCCACACTCCTGTCACTAGAAAGGGCACCTCCCTTCATCATAGCCATGGCTTTGAGGGGTGAGTCTATGAGATCCCCAAGGGTCTCCTTATATAGAAAACAAAAGCCATCTCAGAGGCCTAAAGGCTGGTGGAATTGGGGGTAGAACGAGGCGAGAGGTATGAAGGTCTATTTCAATTATATTCTTTCTACGCTTCTACATTGTTAAAATTTTTACATCAAGCATGAAAGTCTTACATTACCTTAAAATGTACACAACATTTTAATTTATTCGAGAAAAAAAGCAATAAATGAGAAAACCAGCTTCCCCTTAAAGCAGTAACATATTGCTTGATTCTTACGACCAAAGGCATTTTTCATCTTATAATGTAAGAACATATTTTTTAATGAAAGGATCTAAAAACTTGGAAGGAAAAAAAACTACCCTTCTCATAAACATAAATATGTGACAAAACCAGCAGAGTCTGGCTGGGAAGCTGCTGCAGTGGGAGACGGGCAGGTGGAAGGACACACAGCACATTTAACTCAGAAGGTCCAGTGCTTTTCCTCCACTCACCTATGGGCGCCTGGAAGGGGCTGCCCAGGGTCACACCTCACCGTGGCCTTGAAGGGCAGCCCCATGACATCAATTACCCATGGCTGCTCTTCCTTCTCCCCAGCGTTTCCACCCACTGATGGCGCATGGTCACGCCCCCTCCCCCAGGATGGTTTTCCAGTGCTTTTCAAAGTAGAATTTGGAAAAGAGAGCCAAAAGGGAATTTGAAAGAAAAAGACGAGAAAAGACGATGTGATGACGAGGCTGAGAACTGAAACCCTGGTCCCCAGTTTCCTGTCTTCTGTTTAACACCTCCCTGCAGTTGGGGAGTTTCCAGAACAGAAAGTGGTTACACATTCAGACTTTCCGTCTCCCTTCTACACCAGCATTGATGTGCTCAGAGGAGGCCCACTGCATCTTTGCCTCCACAACCCCATTCAGCAACATTTACTGAATACCTACTATGTGCCAGGCTCTGTGCTGGGACACATGCTGAGCAAGACAGGGACCTCTCTGCTCTCATGCTGCTCAGCGGGCTCTGTCTTGTACTATAATTGGCTTTTCCCTTCAGCCTCTCCACAGTGTCTCCAGGGCCCCACACAGTGGGAATTCAATAAAAATTCATCAAATGAATGAAAAGTCAGACACCTACTCCCCTCATTCCTAGCTCCAAGACCATCTCTGTGGCAGCTTAGCAGGGACCAGCACAGGACACCAGCCTGGAGCCCCAGATTTCAAGCCACTTTTTACCAGATGCTGTCTGTACGTCAAGGACCTTGTCTGTCCCTTTACGTAGTTTCCCTTATTTAATATCCTCAGCATCCTGTCAAGTAGGTACCATTGCTCTGCATCTCACCAGAGAGAAGATGGAGGCTCAGAGAGGTTAAGTAAATGGTCGGTGGTCACAGAGCTAGTGAAGAGGACAGCTAGGGTGCGAGCCCAGGTCAGGCTGGGCCCAAGGCCCTAATTCTTTCTACTACTGGGCTGCTGTCAGGCTTCAATTCCAGCAAGTCCAAAGCCACCATCCTGCCATTCCTTCTCACCTAGCTCTGAACACCCACCCCCATCACCAACTGTGATTTTATTGCCCTGAGTAGATCCTCCAGCAAGTCTCACCCCATCTTCACCTTCCTCCACCCACTAACTTGGATTCCCTCCTCCTCACACCTGGGTTCCTGAGTTGGCATCCTCCTCCACGCATCAGCATCTAAAGTGCTGCCAGACCTAGCACCAGATTCATGTTTCCTCAACCTTTTGCTTTCGCAACAACCTTCCTAGCTTAAAAACCTCAACAACCCCTATATGATCCAGGAGGCAGTGTAATGTTATGGTTAAAGGTTTCAAAGACCATCAGAAGAGGATTAAAATCCTGGCTCTGCTACTTTTATGCCATGTGGGGTCAAGCAAAGCCCTAGTAGCTTTTGTCCCTTAGTTTTCGCCTGTGTGAAAAGGGGATCCTAGCCCAGGATTATCCCCCAAGTTTCTACAGTCATCAACATCTGTTCCCAATGCCACCAGCAACATCTACAATTCTCTCTCTCTTTCCACATCTTTGAGCTCCCTACTTGAGAAATCTGAGTCCCTGAGAACTCAGGCAGCCCCAACTGGTCTCCTCATAAAGAGCCAGAGGTGAGACCCAATACCTGATTCCGGGCTTGGCACACAGCAAGTGCTCAATATGCGCTTATGCGTGGAGGTGTGGATTTAGCCACTTCCCACTGTGCCTCTCTCCCAGCTGGCGTTCCCTGATGCTAAGAAGCAGAGCTGTGTCAAAGGAGACCTTCCATAGGCCCTCGGGCCTTGTGGAGAGCGGAGGGAAACTCACAGGGCAAGGGCGGCCTCACTTGTGCCCATGTCATTAACCGGTCTGTCTCCCTGAGTAGCGGCTCCACCTCTCGCCTCTGCCCAACTAGCTCTCTCCCTCTCCCCTGCCATCCCCAGCTGTCCCCACCCCCCACAGCTCCCAACTGGAGCCAGGCTGTCCTTTTCATCTGCTGAAGTGCTCTGTTTTCTTAAGTATCCCACTCAATAGCTTTGGCTTTTGTTAAGCTAAGGAAATCCATTTTAACCTTTCCCACACATTTTATTTCATCCCAGAAGTTTAATTAAAGGGAGTAGCATCTGAGAGACCAGACATGTGAGGGCATCCTTTTGTAAGCAAGCCTCTTCCCTACAGGTCCAGGCCTGGGGGAAGCAACTCAATTCCACGAGCACTTACCTGGCCCTGCACAGTGAGGCTGGGGGAGGGGGCGAAATGTCCCAAATATTGTTTGCGACGTACGTACATTAAAAAAGTGGTGTTTAGCTGGAACTCAAATTTAAAATGGGTGGTCTGCATTTTTATTAGCTAAATCTGGCAACCCTGCGGTGAGGGTGACAGTCACCTCCGGGAGCGATGGTTCTTGGCGGGGTCGGGTGCTGACTTCGTGCAATGGTTTCCAGACTTCGGTTACTCTCCTTCGCCCTGCGCCAAGCACCCGTTATTTATGTAGCCCCAGAAATCACCGAGGTACCACTTAACTGCAGCCTCCTCGGAAGCATTAGCCATGAAATCACAGGTCTGCTGTGCTAATCACATTTCCCTGCTCGTGCCTGTTAAATAAATACATCCCTGCTAGATTTGTGAGAGGCAGCACGGGGTTCGTGTGCAATCCACCTGCGGAACATGTGTGAAGTAGGAGTCATACTCCAGAAACCCCAAATTAATGGGGCATGTGAGCCCGTCTTCTGCATCTCCTGCCAATCCTCTCTTGTCCTTCTTCTGGGGTCTGTTTTAAAACCCAAGCTGTAGACGGGGCTGGTTTCAGGGTCTCCACGCAGCCCCCTGCAGCATCTGAGTTGGTCCGAGTTACTCCTTTTTCTGTGTCCTGGTCTCTCTCATTTCCTTTACCTACTGGAAAGCTTCTTGAGGTCCGGCAGCCCTGTCAGAACAGGCATCTGCCTGCTCACTGTCATTCAGAGTTCACTAGCCACTTTCAAATAAATCCAGTGTCTCCCCAGCTGCTCACAGCAGCCTGAGGCCAGCCGGCTGTGGAGTCCCACCCCTACGGTGCAGCAGAAAGATGTCCGTTGTTCATTAAGTCAGGCAGCCAGGACAAGGTGGCTGTGTGGCCCTGCGCAGCTCAAGTATACTCTGAGTGTATTTCCTCATCTGTAAAACGTGCCTGGCTGCAATTCCCAGGTCACCGAGAAGCGAGCGGGATCACTTGGTACAGCGCCTGACACGTGAGAGGCTTTCAAGAGCTTTTCAGTGACTTCCCTTCCAAACGGCAGGGACATATCAAGCAACTTGCTCAGGGTCATGGTCACATGAGAACAAGGAGCCAGCATTTGAGCCCAGCTTCTCCTGTATTCTCCCGCAGCCCATGCCACCTTTATCCTGCACAGTGCCTGACACGCGAGAGGCGTTCAGTAACTGCGAAGGGATGGCAGACACCCTCCTCCCTTCTCCCCCGGGCTCACTTCTACTCACTTCCCCTTCTCTTTCGGTTTGTGTGATGTGTAGTTGGAGGTGACATGTTCAAAACTCTTCATCTGGCTCCTCCCCTAATGCCACCCCCTCCCCCAAAAGCCCCAACTAAGAGCTCTAGGTGTTTATTCATTGCAGTGTTACTCTCTCCTTCCCATGGAAGCCAGCTTTGAGTTAAATGACATGGGGGTGATCAAGGTAAAGAGGGAACATGTGGGGACTGTCCGGCCTCCCAAGGTCCCCTACAGATTGAGAGGCTGAGGCCCAGGCAGCACAAGGGTGTGTCTGGGACTACAGAGCGAGGCCACGGCAAAGCCTAGACCCTGAGGCTGATTAACCAAGAAAACACCCACCGCCCAGAGCTCGTCAGGACACGACCCCCTGGAGAAGGGAGAGACAGAAGCAGAGTGTGATCGAGTGTCAAATATTGCTCAGCCTGCACACAGGCACTGAAGGGGAGGGCGTGGAAGGATAAACGAATAAAGAAGGCTTTATTTTATTTGTCACCATGGGCATCCTATTTATCACCAGTGATGGGGGAGCAGAGGGTGGACAGCGGGAATGCCCTTCATTTTAAGGCAGAGGGAAGACTCCTCCATCATCCACAGCCCATCGAATGACAGGCTCGGGTTTGGGACGCTCTGAGGAGAGCGGGAAGGAAGCTGAACAAGGACAGGACACTGATTTCCCCTGAACTTGGCCAACCAATCACCAGGAAGTAAGAATTCACTTCTCCTGGGCCTCAGACCCAGTGA